TATAGCATTACCCGAATGGTTAGCATTGTTTAATACCGCGCAGAGGGTCAAGAGTTCCAATCTTGGATAGTTCATAATAATTTTCTAAATGCCATCGTCCTTGCGAGGGAGCGTTACACTCACCGAGCGTATTTCGGAGAAGAAACAAAAAAGCTTCTCATAAAATTCATTCAGCTGTTTAAAGTTGTTCCTTCTAAATATTTGGCGGCCAAATTCACGAAAAATATACACTAGTGAAAATAAATAACTCAGCCGGGAAAAAACACAAAAAACCTCTATCTAATTATATCTGATCCCAGGATACGCATGTCTGCATTCTTGTAAAAGAGATCTTATTTTGAATAGCCCGTTAAATGCGGTTTATGGTCTGGCGGGGCAATTGGATCTTACTTTTTCAAAAGTGAAGCTGGAGCAACAATTACTGGGAATGGATTGCGCTTCGAGAGATGAATTCGATGGTATTGAGCTATACAAAGTTTGAAGGGAACCCTTTTATATGAGCATATGTATTTTCATTTTACGACTGTACATTTTGTTGAAAAAACTTCAAGATGAAAAACCAAAACTGGGAGGAGCAGCTCGGCCGAAGTTCGCTTCAGCGATTACAAAGCGTCAATTGAAGAAAAAACGCGCCTTTCCACCCACACTGACTCTTTCTTACTTATTTCATACTATTTGAATTAGTACTACTATGTATGTATGTTTGTATGTATTTACATAAGCATTGCTATATCCCTCGTCCCTCATGACGCAAGCGAGTAAGAAATCGCTTGTTGCTTGCACAAGTTATTTAAGTAGAAATGGAACACCTCAAAACCCCACAAAAAAAAAAAAAAACAAACAAAAAAATAATAAAATAAGCACTACCAACAACAATAACAAACAATAACACAGCACTAGCAACAGCAACACAAGCGGCAGCAGCCACAGCCACAGTGACGGCCCGTGCGACAGTGACGTTGTCGGCCGCTTTTGATTATCACACATTAACAGCTGCCAGCGAGACAGAGCAAACGCTGGCTGGCTGGCTGGCTGGCTAGGCTATTGTGCTACAAATATAAAAAGCTTATCGCCAGTCATCAGCGTGCAAGCGAATATAGAAGTGATATGTACATACATACGAACATGTATGTATGTATAAATATTTGCGTTCAAAGACATGTAGTCGCATACAATGTATACACATATGTATGTAAATGTAAATATATTTACATATTTATATGCATGTACTTGTATGTATGTACATATATAATTGTAGGTGTAGGTGCAGATTAAACGTGTTCATTTTTGTCAGCGATTCCTCTTTAGATATAAATTATTATTATTATTATTTTTATTATTATTATTTTTAATGCTTTGCTTATCATCGTCAAAATATTTCCTGCTTTACTGTGTCAGCCAGCAAGCCAAATATTGCAAACAATTGGTTATAATTTATTGTTTATTTTTTTAATTTTTTTTTTTTATTATTTTTAGAACATTTTTTTCTTAAATATACCAAACTTGATTTTGAAATATCTGTGGTGCAGCTAATTCTTTAAAAAAATATATACTTAATTTCAAGTTTCGTTTAGATTTAAATAAATGCGAGTACTGGTTGGCAATTGAAATATAATATACAAGTAAATAAATAAAAAATAAAAATTATAGAAATTACGGAACTCAAAATTATCGCAAAAAGTATTTTAAGCTTAAAAGCCATTTAGTAATTTTTAAACGAGCAAGCAAATTACTTCAAAGTTTTTTGGAAATCAATTAAAAAGTCTCATTACAATTTACCTTTCAAGCACTTACGCAGTAAAGCCTCGCTAAGTGGGCATACTGTACACAAAAACAATTACTGTACACAAAAACAATATGTGCTGTTGACTTGAACGTGTCTTTTTAAGCCTATTGGAATGATAACCGCTCGCGTATCATATTTTAATATGTATTTAAATGTTGTATTCGGAAGGAATTGAAAAAGTTTGAACTCACAAAATATATATATATATTATTTTTTATATGTTGCCCAGCGGTGAAGAACTGTGTTGATCTGACAAGGTGCATGTACCCGAGAAATGGTCGGTCGAAAGCTTGTCTGACGATTAGAATTTAATTATGCTCTGCCCAATCTGAAAAAAATTGAGCCCAATGGTCTGCTTCAATTGCCATGAGATTAGACTCTTAAATATCACATATAAAAAACTGAATTTTTTGAGATAAATAATCGGATGTTTATTTCACTGAAAAGAAGAAGGCGGCTTAGTATAAAATGTAGGTCACTCCACTTGTTTGAAAAACATGCAGACCCAAAACCGCAAATCGGACGAGGAAGGTAAACCTTATCCAAATCAATACCATTCGACTCCGGCCATAAAAATCATTAGTCATCTCTCAAACAGTTACTCATTTTCTGAGCTCCAGATGCGACAGTTTTGCTCATTGACGCAGCCATGGTGATGGAAATGGACTTCAACAGTCGAGATGATTTTTCAATGAAATTCCAGATGAAATTCAAATTTCATGCAATTCATGAGTTCAATCAGCAAAAAGACGCTGTTAACAACAAAAATATTCCCAGTTGTTCTGAATTTGGTCTCACCGCAAAAACTGTGTAAACTGACTAACGCAGGACAATAGTAGAAGCGCAGTCAGTATTGTCAGTATTGTCAGTCAGTATTGGGAAGGACCTCTCTCGAACGGCTCTTCGATGACAAACAAGATTTGAGACAGAGTGACTATTTCTTGTGTGATTTCTTCAATTTGATGCTGAATAAAATAGTACGAGCTGCAGAGCTGAATAGAGAAGGTACAAATTTCTTTAAAAGTGTACAACTGCTGGAGTATTCCGATGACATTCATTTAATAGGCCTTAACAATCCCGCTGCTCATCCCGCTTTCTTTATACTCGATAAAGAGTGAAAAAAAGACAAGACCAAATATCTCCTGAGGTCGTAGATAATTTCGTCTTTCCAGCGAATAGCATCAACACCAATTATAATGTCAGCCTTGAAATTCAAGGCGAGTCACTCTTGCCCACAGGTACTACTGTGGACTGAATTGGTAAGTGAAAAGTGAAGTTCTCTCCCGACGAACGAAAACCAAACTCTACAAGTCCTTTATCGTTCCCGTCTTGCTATATGACGCAGAAGCCTTGGAGTTATTCGAAAGAAAGGTTTTGCTAAAGAATTTATAGCCCTTTGCTTAGACGAGGGAACGTTGAGCTGTTCGAGTTATACGATGACGTTAAGGAGGAAGACATCCAATCTGTTGGAAGAATCTGGTGGAGAGCGATATAGCTTAGCTTGATATTTCTATCTGGCGCCAAACAGCAAAAAGACCGGACGAATGGCACGATATTATATTTTATCATAAGCGGTGCCTACACCAATAAAGAAGAAGAAGAAATGATACCAAATTTATTGTAAAATTTATTTCTGCTCACGATGAGTCGATAAAAATTCGCATAATTTTCCGTAGCCTGGCGGCTTTTATGCCTATGCGGCCAACGAGTTATTAGGGCGCGTCAGAAAACAAATGTTTTTATAATAGTGTGAATTTACTCTCAGGTGTATTTGTACTAAATATCATTGCTAAAAGTCATTTGTATATCCATTTTGTGGACTATTCTGTTAATCTCAGGTTCAACAGAGATCAAATAAACAACTTCTAGTGAAAGAGTTTCGAAATTTAAAAATTAAATAGTAGTGAAAAGTGGACACTGCTCTATGGAACCCCTGGCTTGATTTTCCTCAGTTTCGATATTTCGAAATTCGAAATTCTACCGATGATAGATATCCACTCAGGTAGCCCATAATTCACATCTGCGACTCCTGCGCTAATGAAGATTCCTCAATGTTCGATAGTACTACGTCCGATAGTAGCACTCAATGTCTGACAGTGTCAAAAGCTTTTGACAGATCCAGTGCTACTAGGACAGTTCGCTCACAGGGTCGGTTTTGGTTAGAGCCATTGACCATCTGGTACTGTGCACTTTTCGGAAGCAATGCTGATGTGCCCCTGTACTCAGATTGTGAGCGAAGGCCTCAAGTGTCTTCGCTACTGCGGAGAGGAGAGATATTGGCCAAAACGACTCTTATTTGTTGGCTTGTTTCCCCGGCTTAAGTAGCGAAACCACCCTGCTCATTTTCCACACGTCGGGTGTCTTTAAGGTGGTCAAAGACAATTTGAGGACCTTGGTGAGGATGTCTGCTCCCTCTGATTCTTAATGTTTTAGCATCAACATGCCCCAAAGACCCCTGAACCTCATCCCCGGAGAAATGCAGCTCTTCGGATCTGATGAAGCGATGCCACAGAATCAAATTTTCACTCGACCATAGCGTCTCATCGGGTTAGACAATGATTTGACAGTATCCCATAGCTTGGTTGACCCAGAGGGGAGATTGCAGGGCCTTAAGTGCTCCTTCCACCTTTTCCACTTGCGTGCGGCTCCAAAATTGAAAAAAAAAATCTTCAAAGGTAACCAAGTGAGCATAAGTACAGCGGTTGAGCCCTGTAATATGTTTTGGGTTATGAAAAAGTAGAGCTGAAAGCCGCTTTGAATGAAATTCCTATGTACGTATGTTCATAGCTCAGCTGCAGTTGCAGAACTGCTCCAAATCAATATCAGCTGATATTCTTTCCATACATCTGCACTCAACTCAGCGAAAATTTGGGTTTGAAAAGAACTTCGCTTGAATACACTTCATTACTTTTGATAATAACCCTGCGGGAGTACATATTTAAGTCATTTGTGTGTGTGCCTGTGGATATGTAAATATATACAAATGTATGTATGTATGCATTATGTGGGCATAAAAGAGAATTACCTGTTCTAACAATGAGTAGGCATTCATTACCCTTGCCATAACGGCAAGAGGCCACGCAAAAAAATCCATTGTTGCTGTTTTATTGTGCTTATTATTATAATTATTTTATTTATTTATTATTACACTTGTTACAGTTTTTTGCTTAAACTATAATCGTTGTTGTTGTTTCTTCCTCTTCTCGTTCTACAGGTAACCAACGCCAATAGTTTGAGGTACATGCTCTGTCTGCTGACGCCAGCGCCGACGACTCTCCGCTGCTTTACATTGTGATTTCTCATAACAAGAAGAAATACATTGTTTCGTGGCGCTCACAAAAAATTTACGCGCTCACCAAACACGAATACAACCAATCAGCTGAACAGCCAAACAAGCAAGAGTTAATTCTGCCTTGCCTGTATTTAATTGAGTACGCCGATGTCGAAGTCAACGAAAGTAGCAGAGTAATTTACAACACACAGCTGTAGCTGCGAGCGTATGTCGATGACGTTGTCGATGAAATGCTCAAACGCCTGAATTGACAACTGACTGACTTGTTGGCAACGTGTGTGACTCAGTTCATTTGATTTCATTGTACTCAGGCAGCAGCCAACAACTATACTGCATACACATACATATATATTTGCGATAGCACTCTTGCTCTTCTTATTGCCAAAACTGTTGCTGTAACTAAGTTTGGAGCATAGGGGCACACGAACGCGTGCTGAGTACAACGTACACACTGTGGGGTTTCGCATGTGTCTAGCGTTGACGTTGGTCGACAGTTGCAATCGACGCGCCAACAGAACAGGACGTTCGCGGTTGAGTAGCTGTACGTTGACGAACAAGTAGGCGTCGTGCGAATGAGCGAACGAACAGACGCGTCGTAAAGGTCGATTGGTGGAACATTTTTTTCCGCTTAGTGATTCGCTTACAAGCCCAAACATATTAATGAGTTGACGTTATAGCTTTCCGTCGTCAGCAGCAACGTTGTCAACGACGTCGTGAACAGTGTTTTTGGTATTTGGTAATATCTTTTTTTTTACTCGAGCTGTAGATCATGCCAAATACGGACCGGCTGTTGACAGGCAAACACGATGTGAATTAGAAGCTAGAACCAAAGTGAATTTGGCAAGCAATACAAAAAGTGTTTCTAAGTGTAAATATTAAGTGCAAGCAAAGAAAGAAATTATATTTGCAGGAAAAAATGCACAAAAGAGTTAAAGGAAAAAAGAAATGTGATTTTCGTAAAAATTTTAAATTACGAAAAATAGCAATAAGAAAATAAATTATAAACCAAAAGAAGTGAATAAAAAAAATTATTACGAAGCAAATCAAAGCAAAGGTAAATCAAGCAAGTGCACATACAAATTATTGCAAACAACAACATCAAGCGCTCGATAAGTGCAGTGCGTACAACATTCCAGTAGCCGAGTATCAGCTGTCAGTGCGCGAGTGTGTGTGCATGTTAGTGTTTTGGTGTTCTCTTCGCCCATATTTCATTTCATTGTTGCTTTGCGCAGGCGTGCACGTCCTGCCCTTACGGCAGCTGCATATATACATATAAAAATAAAGAAAAAATAAAAACAACAACAACTAAAACCAAAACAACAAAAGCGTTTTCTGTGTATTGTCTCGCTTGTTTGTTTAGTTTGAACTTTTTTCTACGTTTGCATGTTGTTGCCTAGCGAAATGACTGATTCCATAAAATTATCCGAAATGCAACGCAGTAGTATCGAATTCGAACGTCAACGACATTTGGCCAACTGGTTTATCAAGAGTAGTCCGCACATGGCAACACCGACTACGGCGTCAGCTAACAGTGGGCCAACAACAACGATACAATCGCAAACAACAACACCGGCAACAGGCATAATAGCAGCTGGTGCAACAACAACAGCAGATAATGTAAATGCTGCTACAGCGCCAAGCACAAACGCAGCGTCAACAACAACGGCAAAAAATACAACAGTCACAACAGCAACACAACTCATAGGTAAGTCCGCATACATATGTATGTACGTACATACATACATACATATGTAAGTATGTACCGGCACAAGAAAATTCTTCTCTACGCAGAGAAATTATAAAAAAAGAAAAAAATAAAATACTTTAAACTAAAACTAAAAAATAAGTTAAGAAAATTAAATAAAAATAATAGAAATTAAATTAAATAAAAATAATTTGAGCTTCATGATATTAATCTCAAAATTTATATATAAACTAAAACGAAATGAAATTAAACAGAATTAAACTACTAAAATAAATTAATTTAAACTAAAATTATTAAATATCATGAAACAAAAAAAAGGTTCCTTAATTAATATAAAGTTAAACGATTATTAATAAATTAAATTAAACTAAATTAAAGTAACTCTAATAAAATCAAGTTAGGTTAAATTATATTAAATAGAAACTAAATGAAAATAAATTAAATCAAACGAATTTAAATTCAAGTTAAATAAAATAATATATAAATTTAAAATAAATTAATAAAGCGTGATAAATTAAATTAAAGTAACCATTATTATATATAAATACTTTAAAAACGAAACCGCCGGAAAACTAAAAAACAAAAAAAAAAAAAAATTTTTTCTTGTTTAATAAAGTGATTTTAAAGCTAGTGAAAGTATGCCTTAATCAAACTTATTATAATCAGATTTTACATTGAAATATATTAAATTATAAAAGACCCTAAATTAAGAAAAAAATTAAGTAAATAAGATGGAATTACGTTAAATTAAACTAAATAATAATTTTTAAAGTAATAATAATTGTTATTATATTAAATGATTTTCGTAACGGTTATGGAATTAAATTAAATTAAAACTTAAGTAAAAATTTAAAATAAATAAAATCTATTAAAATGATGAATTAACCAAATTAGATTTAATTGAAGTGAAATAAAGATAAAGTTAACTTAAAAAATAAAATTTAGGCTAAATTCAATAAAATTTAGCAAAATTAAATTTCGCATGAATTTTGGAACTAAATTTAAAATTTATAATTAATACTACTAAAAATTTGAAAGCATCATAAAACTTAGTTTAATTAAAATGAATTAAATTGAAGTTTAGTTAATAATAAATTAAATAAGTTAAATATAATAAGATAATTCAAATGATATAGATAAAGCTAAAAAATATTTTAAGTTGAATTAAATTAAAAATATTTATATAAATTAATAATTTAAAAAAAATACATAAAAATTAGGTTATATAATTTTAAATAATTAAATTCCTGAACTGAATGAATTAAAAAGAATTGATATAAAAAATGAGACTAATGAAATTAAATTAAATAAGCTAATAAAAAGTTGTATTAAATATGAACTTAAGTTAAAATGATAAGTAAATGTAATCAAATTGAATAATATAAATAAAAATAAATATAGTAAAATTAAAGAGAATGAATGAAATTAATTTAAGTTTCAGTTAATAATTTCAGTTTAATTGAATACGAATTTTAGTTAATTAAGATAACAAAAGAATTAAAATATAGTCAAATAATTGAAATTAAATTCATGAAAAGAAATCAAAAACTAAATTTAATTAAATTAAGTATACTTATTTAGATTAACCAAGAATTTGATTTCAATGAAATTAATTAAAAAGTTAAAAAGTAATTGAAATAATTACTTATAATAATAATAATAATTATAATAATAATAGTAATAATAATAATGATAATAATAATAACAATAATAATAATAATAACAATAATAATAATAATAATAATAATANATTAATAATAATTAAAAAGAATAAAATTAAATTAACTTCAAATTAATAAAAAAATTGTCAAATTTAATTGCATTAACTTATCTAATGTTTATATTGTTTTTGATAGTGCCAAGCTAACAATTGGACGAACATATGAATCGACAAGTAGCTGACGTAGACGTAGCTAAATAAACTCATCTGCTCATTGTAGATTAGATTAATTTATATGTTTATATAGAACTTGGTTAGAGTAAACTGCTAGAGATAGCCCTTGCACTTGTGTATGTACAAATTGAATATACCACTTCATACTGCACTGGGGGTATAAAAATTTAAAAAGGGATGAAAAAGCTCAGCTGAAATTTAGCTAACAACGACAATTCGATATTTGTATGTATAAATACATATATGTATGCATATGCCTGCTTATACGTGTATGTATTTAAATACGTATGTAGCTACATAGGCATTGCATTTCTACATAGCAAAAACGCCGCTTGGTCAGTATTTGGTGCACAACAACAACCTCGACTGAAATGCTCAAAGCATTTAACTGCAGAATGGGAAAAAAACGTGGTTTGCAAAGATGATGAAATGCTCAATGCAATCAATTAATCATTTTAATCGTTCTGGCAATGAAATTGTTGAACTTTTCACATGTCACGCGCTCATTGACAATATCTATAACTTACGAGTGAGTTGAGAGAACGTTCTAAGTGGTTATAATTTGGCGTTTAATTGTGTTTAAATGATATTAAAAAAATATTTTCGTATTTCATATACTTGAGATAATTGTCTGTTGCTAATGGAATAAAATCTTATTGCACAAATCGAAAATTTCGTGTGAAATTCATATTGTGTTTTTTAGAACTATAAATGACAAAGTGCATAATCAAAATCAAGTATCTACGAAAATTGTGCATATTAGGCGGAATTATTAAAAAAAATTTACACATTTTTAATACTGCTCACATGATTTTAGCGCAATTGTTAGGTGATTAAATAATTTTAAAATGAAGTGAAATTTTATTTTCATACCTTTTATGTACTTAAAAATGTGGCCCGAAGTATGTATGCAAGTACCAGAAGAGTATGATGAGTTGAGTTGATTTAGTCATGCTTGTACGCAAGGTAGCCCCCATATTTCTTTCGCACACAGGTACTCTTGCAGGACATACTCATACAAACGATTGTTTCAAACATAAATTTTTTTGGTTATAAAACCGTCAATTAATCAACTATTAGAATGTAATTTTGCCATCTAGAATTTAATATTGTCAACAAAAATCATTGAAATCGTAGTACTACAATATATCATATGGCCGCCATACAACCAGTTCGCTCAGATACATTCCATGTATGTATAACGTTTTGGGGTAAAAAATCCGTCAAAAAACATCTAACAGCGTGAAATCCGAAATTCTATTCACTGAAACCGAAAATTAACGAAATCGGAAAACTTAATAATATAGCCGCTCCAACCAATTTTTCAGGTATAAGAATGAATATTTACACCTAAAATCTAATATCATAAATTTTACATGGTCAAAAATGTTATAAAGACTTCAACATGGCCGAAGACGACTCTCAGCTTCCTGGTATCGAACTTAATAGGACTCTAATTAATAATTAAATTAACAATGTTGAAAGTTTTTTAATTTTTATGTAAAAAATATACGTAAATTTATCTATTTATATTTGAAAGGTGAACTTGTTTCTCAAATTTTAGAAATAAGTTCCTTTAAGAACAGTAAAGAATAAATAATAAAAAAAGTAGATATCTATTTTTGTTAGAACAAAATGTGAATAACCTTAAATCCTTGACGAATCCGTACAGTAAACTTCCAATTTACAATATATATTTTTTGAAAACAGTTCGTAGTAGTCTGTTATTAGTATTCCGATGTATGTTTTGTGTTATAAATATAATATTTTGAGCACTGCCAGACTGCGAAACACAATTAAATCAACTGAGCTCGTTATTCTGTTCATATTGGCATACATGAGCCTATCTTTTCTCCTTCTTGTACCTGCAATTTTTTAAAAATAAAATTCTTTTTTTTTTTTTTAATATATATGTACGGGTTTGTTCAAAATAAAAGCTCAATCAGTTATTGCGGCGCTTCTTCCAATACTCGTCGAAATGCGATTTTCGGTATTGCCATCAGCTCCTTCTTCGATGCTGACTTTATTTCATCAATTTTGGCAGAACGGTTTCCTTTGTATATAAAAAGTAGCAGATCTGGCGAATACGGTGAATTATGGTATTGCAAAATTAATGACTTGTTTTTCCACAATTCCGTTCACTTGGGTCATATTGTTTCACCCAAGTGTTGCATAACTTCCTCGTGCGACACCTTATTAACCGTACGACTTGTTGCCAAGAACTCAAGGGACATTACGCTCTTATAAGCGAAGAAAACAGTTAGCGAAACCTTCATATCGAAATTGACATGCCTTTTTTCGGTCTTTTCGACGTCGTAACTATAAAACTACGTTTCGTAAGCAGTTATGAACTGAGCGATCCTGTATTGTCGTTGATGTCATTCAGTAAAACCTAAGCGATGTTAATTCGACGTTACTTCTGCTCAAAATTTAGCAATTTCGGATAAAAGCTTATATTTTCTATGACCCCCAAAATCACCTGGCAGAATTTCTCAGTTTGTGGTTCACAAGATCTGCAAAACGAATTTACATAAAGTAGGTCTGGCTTTTTAAGCTTATCAAGTGCAGCATTAGCTGCATTCATTATCTCTTCTTTGCTATTAAAGCCAATTTCTTTTAATTTTTTTGTTTTTGATTTTCGAAATAAGCAGAATTCTAAACGTGCTATATCCGAGGAATATGGTGCTGGACGTATTTCTTCAATCCCATAGATCGCAATAAAATTATTCGTTATAGCGCCGCAAATACTTTCCAACAAACTTTTTAAAACTTTTGGAAAGAATTCTTCGGTGTAACATTCTGCAGTTACCGTTTGACCTTTCTCCAGTGGAATAGCAGCTACGATTTTAGATCGGGTGAAGTAAACTGTCATCATTACTTTTGCTGTTGGCTTTGTTCCTTATATTTCACGGGTGTACTTGCTTCTGTTGGGCTCCTTACTAAGAACGACTATTTGGTTTCTGGAGCGTACTTATAAAACCAAGATTCGTCCCCAGTAACGACTTGTTAAAGTTGCTAGACGTACCATTTTCGAATTTGTTCAGGAAAAATTGAGCAAAATGCACTCGAGCCTCTTTTTGGGCCTCACTTAAAATTCGTGGTATCCATGGAGTAGATTCCTTCGTGTATCCAAGATAGATACTTAATATTCGCCATAAAGCCATGACATTCAAGCTTAATTCTTTAGCAATCAGTTCTTGTGTCAATCGGGGGTCTTCGTAATTTCTGCAATTCACTAGAGCTACAGTGACGTCGTGAGTGGAAGAATTTGGTCCACATTCTCGGGGAAAATTGTTTGGTCTGGAATCTTTGCAACCACTAAGAAACAGTCTTGAAAGACGGTGCAATGGCTCCATATGAAATTTGGCATTCCCTAAATATTTGTATTGGCTGTATAATACACCGAAACCCGAAGAGAGTAACATGGCGAATTTCTGTTTGCGTTGGTGGTGGAATTTTGTCTGAACTTTCCTCAGCTATCTTGCGTTTTCTCATTTCCATTTTAGCCGATCGTTCTAAATTTTTTAAGGAAGAGTAATAAAGTAATTGCAAACGATTTGGTATATTAATAATAATATATAATCCTCTCATATGCCTTCAACCCTGTCTACAGTAGAAAAAATAATAATTTTGGTGAATAAGATTCACTTTAAGATATTCATAGGAGGAAGCATAATCGGACTAAAATGGGTCTAGTCATGACCATTGATAATCGTTTTATTTTCCATCGTATTTTGTTTCCGAAGTGCACAAATATTTTTTCGCGAGCTTTTGTAGCTACTCCGTATGAGAAGAAAATCTGTCGTCTAATGTAATAAAAACACAAACTGTGTCATCTGCTATGCTTTAAAAGAATTCCTTACAGCTTCTAAGGTCTAGTAACTGAAGATTGACTGAAATTTTGCGTAATTTAAAAAAGTTGCAACTTTTTCTATTTCCTTTTCAAATTTTCTTTACCTTTATCTAATTAAGTCTTAAGCACATTACTCATTGCTCCGACTATTTATTAATTTACATTTATGCCTACTTCTCTCTCTCGCTGCTTGCAGGTGGCAACCATACAAATGGCATGTCGTCTTCGTCAGCCGTCGCACATCATCAGAATGCTAAGCATCACGGCAGTTCTAATGGCGTTAATCCACCGCCACCCGTCTTTTTCTTAGTCCCGAACAATGGCAACACAAATGGCGGTAATATTGTCAATGGCAGCAGCAAGCATAATAGCAATGCGTCACCGGCTGCTACAAGTGTTGCTACGCCGCCCAACGCGATAAGTGGTAAGTAATTAGTAAGCAGATTTGTTTAATTTTCTTTTTTATTTTTTTTTCTTCTTTGTATTTTATTATCTGCTTCTTTGTGTGCACACCTCGACATGCAAATGACTAATTACACAACGCACACTTTGCACATTACAGCTGTTGCCGGCGGTCCGTTAGGCCATTTCGCATCCGTCGAGGGACGTAAACCGAAATTGCGACGTTTCAATTCGCACGACACCAGTGCTAATATGTTCTCGGTGGCAGATTTCGAGAATGCACGTCTGGCGCGACGCAATGAAATCGAAATGAAACAACGTTTGGCGCGTCGTATGCGCATGAGTGCCAATGGCGGTTACGGTTGTGCGGCTGGAGGCGGTGGTGGTGGTATGGGCGCGAATATGTCTGGAGGCAGCGGCTTGAGCGGTGGTAGTGGGCTTGGTGCCAATAGCAATGGTTATTGTGTGGGCACCGGGGGCAGCGGTGGTGGAGGTGGAGGTGGTGGAGGTTTTGACTACTCTACCGGCGACAGCAAGACATCCAAATACAGTAATGAGGTGAGTTGAGAATTCATATGAAATTTCCAAACAATTTCATCTACGTGTATAGATAAATGCAAATACATTTTCTTATCGTTTACAGTCTCAGCACGAGCCATTACCAGCCGATATCTTTCTCGATCGCTATTCGTTGCCACGCGTTGTGCGTATTTCGTATAAAACGAAATTCTCCGATGAAACACTACAGTCGTCTTCGTCGAATGGCTCATCGACTGCTACAACGCATACCACTGGCACAAGCGCCTCTAATTCGTCGGTGAGCGCTTGCGGCTTGGCGGTGGCTATAAACACTGGCACCTCCTCATCGACAGCCTCATCAAGCGGTAATGTGAATGCGCACAGCTCGGGTGCTACGAATACGAGTAGCAGCGGTGAAAGGATGAATACCAAGCTAACTGCTCCATCCACAACAACAACTCAGTCAAACATAACAACAATTAACGGTATTAGTGGCAATACAGATGCGGATCATCAGAGTGATCATGGTGAACTCTTTCTGCTTTATCGGCTGCTAAGACAGCGTCACATTTTTCATGGGCATAATGCCAAAACAGCGGCCGCGAGTCGCAAGAAAGGCGTGCTGATACCGCAAGAGTTTCCAGGTGAGTCAAATAATGAAAACAAATTCTGCTGACGCAATTTACGTCGTACGTTTTATGTTCATATAGTGGCTTGATGTGAAGAACCTGATTTTACGACATTTAGCTTATTGGTTGACCGTGGTGTCCGTGTGTGACTCAGACTAGTGTTCTGATTAGCTTGCACTTATACGTACATACAAACATATATGTATGCGGTACAGCGCCTTTGCACGTGTGTGACGAAATTTGATTTCAAGAAATTGAGCAAGAATTGATTGACTCATAGAAGGTTTTTCTTTACTGGCACGTTTTAAAAACGGTATAGAAAGAAACGAAAAAATTGATTATATTTCACCATTTTTTATTATCTAATTAGAGCCTCTTAAAAAACAAGTATTGGTTCCAATGTCTAAAAATACTTAGTTGATATGACAAAACAGTATGGAGAGCAAATGATTTCCCTCAGCCAAGATTGTCATAAAAAAGTTTTGCTACATTATACTCGTTTTTTAATATAGATTTCATGAATATAGTCTAACTAGATAACTCACGAAATATTAAGTAGAATATTGGCATCCACTCTTCTGATGATTAAGACTGGTAGTCCATAGAGCACATTGCTTTGTTTTTTTTTTCAATCATCCGATTGCTATTCGAACTTCCTCATAGCTGGGCAATGAAACATTTGCTCCATCATCATCTTTTGCGATGCCAGGTTCGCCATCTCCGTGCCTTGCACTTTCACTATCATTATGCAGGCTGGAAAAGTGTTCCTTCTATAAATTCAGTATACTCTGAGCATCTTTTACTAGATCACCTCAACCTAGTGCCCGTGTCCATCTGTATATCACCAATAATCTGCTCCGATCTTGAAACCTTCTGTAAGGCTCCGTATTTTTTCGTGAAATTTTCGACCTTTACCCCTGTCGGCCAGTTTCTCAAGCGCTTTATACATACTCAGCTCGTCATTTTTATTTTCTTGCTTAGAAACGGCTCTTGTTTCACTACGATATTCTCGATAGATATCCCATTCCGCAACGTTTCGAGGTAGACAGACCGCTTTCTCTCCACTACCAGCTGTTTTTTTGAAACCTTTCCGAAATCCGATAGTTTACTTTGCAGCTCTACGTAGGGAGTTTGAAATGCTGTTTCACATTTTCCCTATACCGAGTTGCTGATGAGTGCTCTGAGAAAGCACGTGTGCAACTCGAGTAGAAAACCGCTCGGCAGTCTGTTGTAATAGCAGCTTTTTGACGTCGAACTTTCCCTGTGTTTGTTGACGGACGTTCTTCTATCCACAGAAGCGCATGCGAATATTCGCTGCAAGAAAATAGTGGTTCGAGTCGATGTTGGATCCTCGGAGTTTACGCACGTCGCAAGCAGTGAGAACATGTTTTCTGTCTAGTTCATCGTTCAGGGGACAGCCAAGTAGCTTGATGAATTTTTTTGTGGTGAAATCTAGTACTAGAATCTAGTACTACAGATAACCAGATGCACGATTTTTAGACAGTAAATAGTGCAGCGGTCATGAGTACGTTCCAAGCACTCGGAAAAGGTATCTTTGTACACATTATAATCCTCATCCTTCGGGACGTCGATGCAAATCAGCGACATGTTAAATAATTTAACTTTGCTGCGGATTGTGGCGAGACGTTCATCCATAGAGTTGAATGCCAGTATTCGGCAAAGGAGTCTTTTTCTTACCAAATTTGCTTTCCTTTATATGGCACAGCTGTAGCCGAGTGGTTAACATTGCATACTGTCAATCGAAGTGTAATTTAAATAAAAAAATAAGTTAATTTCCTTCCGAGAAAACTTGCGACATGAAATAAAGGCTCCTCATAAAAAACTATCAGCCGTTCGGAGGCGGCTTAGTATAAACTGTAGGTCCCCTTTTTTTGGAAATACATTAAGGCACACACCACAAATTGGTAGTGGAGCTCAGCCAAAAATTACTACTGCGGTTACAAAGAGCCAGTTGAATATATCACTCAGATGTACACGCTTCCGGCAATCACACTTCCTGGTCGGCAGTGAATTCAGTCTTTATTCTTTCGAAGACATCAACCAGCTGGGCAGTGGCACCTTCCCAATTAAGGAATCGGGCATTCCAGGTGCATGCTCTCAAATCTTTACACTGAAAACTTTTGCGGGGCTCGTCACCTCATGCAAACATAATCTTTTTGGTGGCAGCCGCGGCATCTATACTTCAGCAAAGTCTTCAACCGTCTAAGTCGGAGTGGCTCCACGAAAGATTTGTCTGTTTTCGCCGTGACCCAAGGCTCCACATAGGTTGCGACTTGGACGCAAGAGTAAGAATCGAGTATAGTCCCACTGTAATTGCTAGCCCAGATGCTTTACTACACCCCACTATACCCCTAATTTCGCAATAGAAAAAAAAAACTGTAAGGCTATAGGACGACGATGAGCATAATGGAGCGGAATTTTGAATTTTTTGGTTGTTTTGTAAAAAGTATTTTACTGTTTTTTGTTCACCTTTACATTTTTCCTATATCTACAGCAGATTTTGAACGTAACCTCAGTTTTTTTGAAGAAACTTGTGAGACTATAAATCTCTTAACTTTGTTCCGTAAAGCTGTTTTTCTGATCTAGAACAAATGCTGAAATTAGATTAATCGCTTCACCAGGTTCTGTGAAAAAAATTGTTTCTGGATGTTAAATAAAATTATTTACCTTTTGAAAATCGGTAATATACACAGAGCTTACACTTGTTGTATCGAACTATTTTATTGGTACCAAAATACTCTGAAATGACGATATCTTTCTGGGCCGATTTACTATATTTAACGTTCTATGTCTTATTCGGAAAATTATATTAAAAAGAATAATTATTATAAATATTTTGCTTCTTAAGCAAAGTAAAGTACAAAATTATCGCTGTTACTGCAATTTGATATGCTTAGGCAGCAAAATATTTGTTTTTTATGAAAAGCAGTATTTTTTTTTTTTAACTTTCAAGCATTTAATAAATTATTGCTTAAATTTGATCTTTTTCACATGACTTAAGATTCTTAAATGCTGTCGCGCTAGACGCGTTGACCTCTCAAGAACAAAACGAAAAAAGGTAATAATAAATAAATAAAATAAAGAATTATAAAACTGGTTTTTAAGTACCATTCACACAATTCATTTACATTAGAATTGATTTCGAAATTCTTAAAGAAGAAGAAATGAGCTCGGAGTAATGGATATAATATTTTATTGAAAAGAAATAAAATTGGCACTTTTAAGAGCTAAATATATATACATACATTCTTACATATGCATACTTTCACACATGTATGTACATACCTACATGCTTTTTTCGTATAAGCTTGGCGTGGTATAGCAAAACGACTATAAAATGATTTATATTTATTTTTTTCCTCTTCTTTAATCATCTCCCTTCCTGTACACAAATAAATATCCATATATATATATTTTATGGCGAGTTGAAATGCTTGCTGGCATTAGCTTTTGAATACAATTGGCTGTCATTAATATTAAGTACTTTTGGCCAGCAACAGTAGCTAGTCAGCTAGAGCTAACAATGACATAACGGTCATTACAATAACAAAAAAAAAAACAGTGTGTAAAGTGCACACATACTCGTACATACACACACAGTGGTGAGCAAAAATATTTGCATAACGAAATTTTTAATTTTTCAAAACCATCTGTTTGTGCTTTTTATTATAAATTTAGTACAAAAATTTAATATATAATACATATATTTTTAAAAATCAATGTGTTTTATGACAAAGTGGTGGTAGTAAAAGACTATTTCGTAATTATTACTATTTATTTTTTAATTAATTATTTATATATATAATAGAAGTCTTGGTATGACATTTGTAAGGTGTTTAAAGAATCAAATGTATATAATATATATTTACATATAAATAATAATTTATTTGAATAAGAAAGAAGCAAAATATTAAATTTAATATATATATATATATATATTTGCCTCTTTAAAAACCTTACAAATTTCATACCAAGGGTTCTATTGAAAAGTTCTTTATCATTTCTTTTTACCAATTATATTTTTTAAGTCCAACCATTTTTTTTATTTTTAATTAATTTGTCTTTAACTTTGTAACAACAACTTAAAAAAATTAAAAACAATAAAAATTTTAAAGAAGAAATGTTAAACAACAATAAAAATTTTAAAGAAGAAATGTTAAGGAACAGATTTTAGTAAAATTTGTAGATATTATTATATTTTAATACGAGTAGCGAAAACTAAAAAAAAATTATATCATATATGTATGTAAAGAAAAATTTTTTAGTTTCACAGTTGAAGAAAGAAAATTATTTAGTATAATTTAAAAAAAAGATGTACTACAATTTTGAAAAAAAGGTCAAATAAGTTTTTGAAGAAAAAATGTTTAATAAGATTTTGAAGAAAAGATGTTTAATAAAGTTTTGAAGAAAAAAAATATTACAATTTTGAAGAAAAAAGTTTAGCAAAATTTGGAAGAACAAAATTTTTAGTAAAATTTTGAAGAATAAAAATTGTTTATCAAATTTTGAAGAAAAAATTACTAGTAAAATTTTTAAGGAACAATATATCAAACTTTTTTAAGAAAAAAAGTTAATCGTAATTTTTATAAAAATTTTGAAGAAAAATATTATTATAATTTTGAAGGAAAACTTTTTTTTTTAAATTTTGTAGGAAAAATTATTAAAATTTTGAAGACATATTTTTATTAATATTTTGAAGAAAATTTTTTATTAATATTTTGAAGAAAAATTTTTAATAAAATTTTGAAGAAAGAAATTTAGTATAATTTCGAAATAATAATGTCTGGTAAAATTTTGTAGATAATTGCAGATATGAATGGCTTATTGAATTTTGATTACAACAAAACCTCAAATTAAAAATGGAATTATATATAATGTCATTTCCATTTTATATAAAGAAAAATTGTTTTGTAAAATTTTGTAGAAAATTTTTTGTAAAGTTTTGTAGAAAAAATTTTTAGTATATTTTGTAGAAAAATTGTTTAGTAAAATTT